GATGCTTTGTCTCCAATTCTACTCCCAGCCCCACCCCAAGGACATGGTAGCCAAGACAACTCCAGGTATTCCGAGCAGAATACCATAGGAAGGAGTCACGAGCCATGGGAGGGTACCTCCAGGTTGGTTCATGAAGGCCTTGGAGCCTGACCTCTCTGATGGACTCCACTGCCCCAGTCTAATTAGACACTCACAAAACTTCTCTGCAGCTGCTGCCTTAGCGCCTAGCTGCCCAACCAGACTTCCCAGTTCACTGCTTCCATGGCACCTGTGCCAGTGCCTCCGTGTCCTCTATGCAGTTTCTACCTCATCCAGCAGCCATGGGAAGAGATCAGCTGCCTGGACAATGACCAGAACAGAGGACACAGATGCTCTAACAGATCTTTTGATGACAGTTTCATCAATTCTGCAGATAAAAGACTATTATTACCAGAAAAGAAATTATCTTATTTTGCCCTGAGGCAGCCAGGGAGAGCTGCTTTGTCCTTGACAACCCCACTGACTTATTTAACAGGTAGCTCAAAACCCAACAGAAACTGGAGGAGGCTGCTCCACTGCATGGAGGGTTTCAATTCAGTAACTGGAGCACTGTACTATCCTTGCACCCAGGCTCATCTCCACAAAAGACCTTCCAAAGAAAACACTTAATTACCTCCTTGCACAAGCCCCGTAAGCCCTAAGATGAAAAGAAACTAAGCAGACAAGGCTTATAGAGAAAGAGAAGACACTTCAGTAGGGACCTACACTCGGCACCAGTATTAAGAAACTGTCCGTTCCTATCACCCCCTAAGAAGCTAAAAGAATTAAGGGGAAGGCCGGGCGCGGTGGCTCAAGCCTGTAATCCCAGCACTTTGGGAGGCCGAGGCGGGTGGATCACGAGGTCAAGAGATCGAGACCATCCTGGTCAACATGGTGAAACCCCATCTCTACTAAAAATACAAAAAATGAGCTGGGCATGGTGGTGCGTGCCTGTAATCCCAGCTACTCAGGAGGCTGAGGCAGGAGAATTTCCTGAACCCAGGAGGTGGAGGTTGCGGTGAGCTGAGATTGCGCCACTGCACTCCAGCCTGGGTAACAAGAGCGAAACTCCGTCTCAAAAAAAAAAAAAAAAAAAAAGAATTAAGGGGAGTGTAGAAAAGAGAAAAAAAGGCCAGGCGTGGTGGCTCATACCTGTCATCCCAACACTTTGGGAGGCAGATCACTTGGGGTCAGGAGTTTGCAACCAGCCTGACCAACACGGTAAAACCCCATCTCTACTGAAAATACAAAAAGTTAGCTGGGCATGGTGGCACATGCCTGTAATCCTAGCTACTCAGGAGGCTGAGGCAGGAGAACTGTTTGAACCCAGGAGGTGGAAGTTGCAGTGAGCCGAGATCGTACCAGTGTACTCCAGCCTGGCCAGCAGAACAAGACTCCATCTCAAGAGAGAAAAAAAAAAAAAAAGCTCAAACTTCCACTCCTATTGTTTGGAACCATGATTTGATTTGTAGCATGAGTTTTTAAAATAGCAGATACACACAATCAAATGTGAAGAGTGGGACAAAACAGATTACTCCACAACAAATCTAGGTGGCTTTTGGACATCCACACCGCTGTTGTTCCCTTTCTACAGATAATGGAGAGTTCCCTATTTGCCTAAATACTTTTTGTAGCAATAGCATGCAAATCCAATGCATTCCTCATTTGTAATAAATTCATATTATATGCTACCTCACACCTCTTCTACTCTTAAAGAAAAATCTTTCTGTTCTCCACTTTTCATATTACTCTCAACCATGTGCTAAATTCTTAAGCTCTACAGGAAATGCCTGCCTCAAGGACTAGATTTACCCAATTCCTTAGGGTTCAATTCTGTCCCTAAGCAGTTCTGTAACCTCAGACAAATCTTTTTTTTTTTTTTTTTTTTTTTAAGATGGGGTTTCACCATGATGACCAGGGTGGTCCTGAACTCCTGACCTCAGGTGATCCACCCACCTCGGCCTCCCAAAGTGCTAGGATTACAGTCGTGAGCCACCACGCCCGGCCAACCTCAGACAAATCATTCCACCCTGCTGGGACTCAATATCCTTGTGTTCACATTCAGTGAGGGAATGGGATTAAATGCTAAAATCCCTTCCAGCTCTAATCCTTTATAATTTTGTAACTATACAGTTAATCCCCATATCTGCGGAGGGAGTGATTCCAGTCTTCCCTTCAGATACCAAAATCCATGGATGCTCAAATCTGATATAAAATGGCAGTGTTTGCATATAACCTACACATGACCTCCCATGTACTTTAAATCATTTCTAGATTACTTACAATACTTAATACACAAAGTAAATGCTACATAAACACTTTGTTTGTTTGTTTTTGAGATGGAGTCTCACTCTGTTGCCCAGGCTGTAGTGCAGCCGCAAGATCTCAGCTCACTGCAGCCTCCGCCTCCTGGGTTCAAGCAATTCTCCCTGCCTCAGCCTCCCACCTCGCCCAGCAAATTTTTGTATTTTTAGTAGAGATGAGGTTTCACAATGTTGGCCAGGCTGGTCTCGAACTCCTGATCTCAGGTGCTCTGCCTGCCTCGGCTTCCCAAAGTGCTGGGATTACAGGCGTGAGCCACTATGCCCAGCCACCCCCAAATATTTCCAATCTATGGCTGGTTGAATCCTCGATGTGAAACTCGAAGATATGAAGGGCAAACTGTACTTGGTAAGTGTAAGTGAAATGTTTATAAAGCACTTAGCACAATACCTGGCTCATGGAAGTACTCAATAAATATCTGTTGAATGAATGACCTGGAGGGATGCAGAAGTGGAAAGCCCGGCCAGATGTCTATCTGTCCTACAAATACCAACAAGGACACTCCTGCCAATGTGATAACACTAAATAAGTGTCTGCTGCTATCATTCTTCCTGATTAATAAAGAGAGAAATACAAACTATTATTAACATCATAGCACTTAGGAGCTAGAAGTCGTTTTTTAAAACAAGCCCAACCAGAAATCAGCCCAACTATGTAAACAGCTCCTAGACACTGGACGCAGGGGCTCATGCCTATAATCCCAGCACTCTGGGAGGCCAAGGCGGGCAGATCACCTGAGGTCGGGAGTTCGAGACCGGCCTGACCAACATGGAGAAACCCCCGTCTCTACTAAAAATACAAAATGAGCCAGGCATGGAGGCGCATGCCTGTAATCCCAGCTACTTGGGAGGCTGAGGTGGGAATCACTTGTACCTGGGAGGTGGAGGTTGTGGAGAGTCAGGAGATCATGCCATTGCACTCCAGCCTGGGCAACAGGGACAAAACTCCATCTTAAAAATAAACAAATAAATAAGAAAAATAAAAAAGCTCCCAGATGCATAGATACAGATTTAGGTGAACAAAGTCTGAGGCTAGGGCCTCTCCCCTTTAGCTAATGCGGTAGGGGATTCCAGGAAAATGATATATGTAGTAAGTGGGCCACAACTGAACATATACTTTTCATCTCAGGACACTGAGGTAAAGCAAAATTCAAAAAGATGTGTGTGGGGAAGAGGGGCAAAGTGCAGCTTTACTACCACCCCAAGCAGAAGCCCCAAGTACTCTGATCCCTCAGAGTAGTCGCCACAGACCATAGTCGTAATCTGCCACCAGACTGGAGGAGACTACAGGCCACAGCCTCCCCTCTTCCCATGGCTCTAAGTCACCATCTGTTTTCCAAGGGGAAAGTCGACTGAGGGAACAGGGACAGTCGGCCAAAGCCAAAGCCATCAGAAGTCAGATGAACTGAGATCAAAGACGCTGCTCTTAGGATGTTTGCAATTCCAAGTAGGAGATACCAGACATCAATGAAGAGTAGCATTTTATTCATGTGCAGATCTCCCTTCTGGGCTAACACGCTGAGAATAAAAAGAATAGCAACTTTATTTTGGGACTGCTCGTCTTTTCATGAGGGGCCCACACAACCAGAGCTTGACTTTTTCAACCTGAGAACGCTCACTGAAGTAGGGATGGGGGGCCGCGAAGAGGATCGGAACGCAGGACTGAAAGCTGCAGTTTAAAAAACTGGGAAAAGGGCCAGGCGCGGTGGCTCACGCCTGTTATCCCAACACCTTGGGAGGCCGAGGCGGGTGGATCACCTGAGGTCAAGAGTTCGGGACCAGCCTGGCCAACAAGGTGAAACCCTGTCTCTATCCTAAGTACAAAACGCTCCTGTAATCCCAGCTGCTCGGGAGGCTGAGGCAGGAGAACTGCTTGAACCCAGGGGGCATAGATTGCAGTGAGCCGAGATCACACCACTACACTCCAGCCTGGCAACAGAGCGAGGCTCCGTATATACTAAAAAAAAAAAAAAAAAAAAAAAAAAACAGGAAAAGGTTTTATTTCTCAATGACAGCCACGAGATGAAACTGCGACGGACGGCAAGTCAAAAACCGTGGGTTCCAGTTTGGGCTCTTATCTTAACTATCTTCAAGATTTTGGACAAGCCAAGCCCTGTCTCTGAATCTGAGGTTCCCTATGTGTGCAATGGAGGAGTTGGGTCGCTTGACCTCCTTCCTTCCTGCTCTGCGCCGTTAGGTTGCTCGGAAGGTGTGCTCCGGCGGAGGAGGGCACGGCCCCACAGGGCGGGGCGGGGAGAGAGCAGGAACCCGGACTCAAGACAAGGCCCCAAGGCAGTGCCCGACCCAGAAAAAGGGACTAGGATGGGGAGCAAGGGCCGAGGCTTCGCCCTTACCTGCCGCCTGCCGACTCCCCAGTCAGCCAAACCGAGCCCCGCAGCCTCTGCCGCCGCTCACTGCCACCCCCTCTGACTCGGCGCCCCGGCCGGGCCGGGCTCAATCCAACCCATCATGGCCCGCAGCCCGCAGCACCAGCCAGCGCAACCGGACCCGCCGCCAGCCCATCCTCAACCACACGCGCAGTCGCAAGTGCGGAGCTCTGAAGTTCCGCCCCCGGATTTGTCCCGGGGTAATCTGGGAAATTGAGTTTACCCGCAAGGAGTTGCTCCTACAGATCACGTGATAAAGAACACCAATTGACGCAAGTCTTACTGCGGAACTGTGCCTGGGTTTGGCCAATGCGAAGTAGACTTCGTTTCCATCCGGGTTTTGGGACAGCGACAATCATGGCGCCACCCGTCAGATACTGCATTCCCGGTAAGTGAGCGCTTCCCGTACAGAGTCCTGGATAGAGGTCAAAGCTGGAAGGCTGGACGGCCTACAGCTTCTGGGGGCCAGTGACTGATAAAGCATTTTTTCTGCAGGCGAACGTCTGTGTAACTTGGAGGAGGGCAGCCCGGGCAGTGGCACCTACACCCGCCACGGTTACATCTTTTCGTCGCTTGCCGGCTGTCTGATGAAGAGCTGCGAGAACGGCGCGGTAAAGGAAGCGGCTTGCCATCTCCTCTCTCTGTTTTCTCTTAGGCTTTCATTAAGTTCCAGTCCTTAGGCATGGGCACTGCGGACGCGTCTTTAGCGCTTCACCGGTACAATGTTGGTCTTAGTTTTTTCTAGCCGTGATCGCCGCTGTTGTGCACTGAGACACCACAAACTAGTTGTGTTGATCTCGCTTGCTTGTGCTGCTGACGCTCGGGGAGGGAGGTTGGGACAAAAGCAGATGTGAATTCAGTAACCCAGCCCAGCCTAGCAGTGAGTTTCATACTGTATGAATGTCGCTTATCTCTCCGGCTTTATCTTGCGCCACTGTCTCCACCTCACTGACGCAATCTAGTAATACTGCCTTTTTTGTTTTTAAAATTTATAATCACAGTCTCTGCTTGCCCTTTTTAAAAAATTTATAACATACTAGCTTCTCTCAATGTCGCTAATGCGCCAAGCTTTCTCCTGCTACAGAGCCTTTGTAACATGCCATCTATCTGGAACGCTTCTGTCTTCCTAGGCCTATTTAATTCCTACCTCCTTTATATAGCTTCTATACTATCAGTTTCTCAGAGAAGCCCTTCTGGACCCACTAATTGAGGAAAGGGGTTTTGTGGGGTGTTTTGTTTTTGTTTGTTTTCTTTAAGACTCACAAGGACCTCTGTTCCTTTTATTCCAAGCATTTATGTCAGCATATGATTAGACACTCGGTATATGATTCCCACCAGACTTCTCCAATGCTTGAATCTAGTATCATGAAAGCAGCCCCTACCACCATGCATTCAGTATCTAGCACAAGGCAGCTCCTCAATAAATGTTTGTTGAATGTGTAATACCAAACTTTCTAGTTTTAGAATTTGATCTAGGATTAGCTCAGGATCGCATAAGCAATATTTGAAGGAGCACAATAGAAAGAGGATTCAGAATTAGAACACATAGGTTCTAGCTAACTAGACCTTGATTCTGCTTTGAGTAATTAATTTAAGCTGTCTGATTCAAGGGGCTTTCTATGCAGTCATTCTTGGGAATGTCCTTAACAGTCCTGAGTTTCTTCACTTCACAGATATCATCTGAGTGTTTTCATGTGTCAGGCACAGCGCTGACTTGGTTTCTGCTATCAAAGGACACAGACACAAATTTAAAATAAATGCTCAAATTGTATATGGTTACATATTTGGTGACTGCTTAAAAGCATAATACAGGGCACCTTGAAAACATGTAACAACCAAACCCACCCTAGTCAGCGGAAGTGACATTTAAGCTGAATCATCTAAAGAGTAAGTAAGAGTTGGGTGGGTGGAAAGAGTGTAGTTCTGGCAGAAAGAATGGTTGAAGAGAGATCCAAAAGTGGGAAGAATTTAGTAAGTCAGGGAAACTGAAAGAAGGCCAGGAGAGCTGAAGCATCATGAACAAGGGAGAGATTGATAAAAGATGAGGTTCAAAATATCTGTCTTGGGCCGGGCGCAGTGGCTCACGCCTGTAATCCTAGCACTTTGGGAGGCCAAGGTGGGTGGCTCACCTGAGGTCAGGAGTTCAAGACCAGCCTGGCCATCATGGTGAAACCCCATCTTTCAAAAAAAAAAAAAAGTATATATATCTGTCTTATTCCAACAGCCAATACCATGCTCAAAGAGCAACTGCAGCTATTCACTTAAAATAGAAGAAAACAAGCATGGCCACTATTATGTAACATTTTTGTGGAAATTTCAGCCTTTGCAATAAAATAAGAAACAGAAAGAGGCAGTATAACTTTCGTGGAAAGAGCAAAATTGTCGGCTGGGTGCGGTGGCTCACTCCTGTAATCCCAGCACTTTGAGAGGCCAGGCAGGTGGATCACCTGAAGTCAGGAGTTTGTGACTAGCGTGGTCAACATGGTAAAACCCTGTCTCTATTAAAAATAAAAAAATTAGCTGGGCGTGGTGGCAGGCGCCCGTAATCCCAGCTACTTGGGAGGCTGAGGCAGGAGAATCACTTGTACTCAGGAGGCGGAGGTGGCAGTGAGCCGAGATCGTGCCACTGTACTCCAGCCTGGGCAACAAGAGTGAAAC